CTATTCCCGCATGTAAAGTTTTTTCCTAAGCCACCGTTAATTTCGCCTACTTTTGTCATGAACTTTTTTTATATTAAAAACTATATAAAATAATTAATATATTTTAAGAGTAATTCAAAAAGGTTTCACGACAAGATTTGTCTGAAATTATACAGTGTAAGGTATATTCTTGTATGCCGAAGTAGTGCATTTCCTGTTAAATAAGATTTCTCAAATTTAAAGATCGTTCTGGATAAATGATATAATTGAGAGATTCCGATTTCTATTGATTTCAATATGTAAAAAGAGATTTTAAATTTACAGTTTAAAATTATTATCATTACTCTATTACAACTAAAATTGCTAATTTAGTTTATTTTTTAAAACAAAATCATTTAATTTATGCTCGTATTAAAGGGGTAAAATTTCTTAGCTAATGTATCTAATAAATTAATTATTTAAATATCTATCTAAAAAAAAATTTTTTTTTAAAAAATCCATTTAATTTTGTTCTAAGTAATAGAGTGAGAGTGCTTCAATAAATTAATATAATTATGATATTTTGTTGATTTAAATAATATATCTTTTTATCACCAAAAAATAGATATTTATACATTAATTAGCAACATTTCAAGAATATAAAAAGAGGAAAATGAGAAAAAATACCACGTATTACGCAATTGATTATATATGACAGGCAAAGAGTAAATGAATGAATTTAAAATGTATTTATGAATTATGATAATGTATATTTTATTATTATTATGAATGATCTTTTGACTTGTATAATTGTAAAATATTATTTCAAAAATAACCTTAAAAAATAATTCTTTAAAAAAAATATATAAACATATTTAGTATAAAAAGGAGATGATATTAAGTATATAAAAGTAAATTATTATTTAAATTTATTAAGTAGGGTATTATTTTTTTCTCATTTATTTTAGATTTTATGATAATTTATTAATATTATAATAATATTATCTTGTTTGTGTGAGTTTTGACCAAAAGCGACAATTAAAACTCTATGCAAATTAATACCATTTGAGCTTCTAACATAAGCTCATTAAACTATAGGTTGATCTTAAATTAAAAATCGAGAATATAGAACCGGTAATCCAAAATTTAGATTTTAGAAATATAAATATTCATTTAATTAGATGAGATTTCAGGATTTTATAATGTTTATTTTTACCAAATTGTTTTTTGTTGGAGCTATTTGACTTCAAAATAAAAGTTTAACTCTATTTTCTCTTATTTATTAAAGCTTAATTTAATTTGAACATCAGGCTAATAATTATATGATTAATTTATAATAAATAAAATATAACAATATAATTATTGTATAAAATAATTTTAAATTATTACTTTAATATTTATAAATGGAGACATCAAAAAACATTAAATCAGAATAAATGAAATATTATAAATAATGCCAATAAATTTAATATTTGTACAAAGGAAAGAAATATTCAGCATCTTAAAACCATTCTTGTGAAACGAAAATAAGAAGGAAAAAAAAATAATTAGAAGAATACGTTGAGTAGAAAGAGGCATGCATTTTAAATATATTTTTATACGCTCAAGCGTGTAATAAGATTAAAATAATTTTTACTCGAGTCATAATCATTGCCAATAAATTTTATTATGAAATAACATGTTTTTTTTTGCATTAAGAAAATACTAAATCTTTTTGGATTTTTGTTTTAAATTATAAATTTTGATATAAGATGTTGTGATATCTTTATAATAAAATACTTTTTATGGTTTACTTATAAGAATAAACTATTCAAAACAAATATTTTCGAATTCTAAAATAATAATAATATTAAAAAAAAGAGCTAAGATGGAGTCTTGGGGGTTTTTTTAGGATTAAATTCAAATACTACTTTTTATTACCCTAAAAACGATATTTGTAAAATAATTGGCAATTTGTTGTTAAACGGCTCAAATTTTAAAAAAACGGCCTAACCAATATTTTAGCCGATTTCATTAATATCCAAATCTTTCCTCCATTTATGAGCAAAATCTCCAGGCTTTGCATAATATTTATGGCTAAAATAAATATTACAAAACTATATAAAATTAAAACAACTGAATAACTTTCATTCATCGAAAATCTTTTATTGTATTTATGCTGTATCATAAATAATTTTTAAAAAAAATACTCGGAAATTTCTGATGACCCTATTATTTATCCTAATAATTTCGATAATAATTGACAACTTCTGGCATCCTACCTTATCTTTTTTTCCAAGGAACTGGGCATTTGGATACTAACTGATGGGTTTCGCCAAGGATTCTTCTTGCTGCAGAGATTCGCCATAGCCAAATATTTATTTTCAGCAGTATAGTCCACTTTCAATGAAGCACTCCATAGAAACCCATTAATCATGTATATAAATTAGATTATTTTGATTTTTAGATATTTTATTATGTTACACTATTTTTCCTCCAAATTTGTTTTTCTTATTTGAATAATCTTACATCAATTTTTTCTTCTTCTTAGAATGTAATTTACGGAAAATTTATTGCCTCATAGTATAAAAAAAAAATTATTCGATTACAAGCTACTTCAAGAATTTGTGAATCCGTGAGATTTATCTACTGATTTTGACAAGTTAATAATGAAACATCATACCAAAAAGATTAGTTCAAAATTATTTTCCATGTTTCTACAAATGTCATTTTTATTATCAATTAAGATTATAGTGTTTTTCTTAAAAAATTATTTGTGCAACAAAAAAAAATAGTCAATCGTGCTGTAATTATATATATCATTTTCCATACAATGCAATATTTTTAAACTAAGGTGATCAAGATTTTTCTCTCATATTTCAAATGGCATCGATTATAGTTATAGTTGTACATTATTTGATGCGGGTGGAGGGGCTATCAAGAAGTGTCCAAATATTAATTTGCTAGAGTGATTTTGGATAGCTGATGTTGTAAATTTTAGAAATATTTAATTAGACATCTGAGAGAATCAAAAATTTATCAATAAATGATTTGGGCAAATCTTAAATAGCCTCAATATATAAGTAGGAGTATTTATAGGAAAATAGTAAACACAAAATATCGAAATTCCCAGATTTATATATATTTATTTTTTAAATTTCAATAATTCTAATCTAGTTTAATTAAAAAGATTTAATAAATATAAAATCATTTATTATTTATTACATTGTTAAAAAAAAGAAGTTTTAAATGCTTACAAAAATAAATCACATAAATTCTAGCATCACTATCTGGCAAAAACACGAATCTATAAATATTAGATTTATAAATTAAATTGATTACTTTAAATTATTACGACCCTTCATACATTCATTTACAAACTAAAAAAAATTATATAATCAAAATTCATATTTTACTAAATTTACATGATTTTAAACCATATTTTTTCCCACCCATTTATGTTGTGCTGTCACATTTACTACAACATTCTAATCCTACATAACATGTATTATTATAATTGAAGTATCAAGATATCCATATTTTTAAAGCTTTTTTTTTATAAAAAATATGTGTCTTAAACGTGCCAGAATATATTATATCCGAAAATGAAAACAATAATTTTTATATATTTCTAATTATACATATAAATTTTTTTCCATACTTGAAGATGATTAAGAGTGGTATTATACCAAACTTCTTTTTTTGACTCACAAATTGAAGTTACGTATATACTATTAGATATTAAATAATCGTAATTTATTTAAACATGTAAAGAATATTTGTATAACTATAATAATTATTTTTATTATAACAAAGATTATACCCGTTTTTCTTTAATTATTGAAATTCACACGATTTAAAATAAATTTAAACAATAGTGGAACCTAGTTGAAAATTTTTAAATGGTGACGTTTTCTATGAAAAGGCTTTCATGCTCTAGCTCCAGTATTTACCTTGATTCTAGCATTCCCTATGTTCTGGTTCGGTTAATAACTAATGAGTAGGTGTATTATCGGGCCAAGGGTTAATATTTTTTCTTATAAGTGTAAGCTACTGATAAATCGCTACTTCATTTTTGCTATTTATTTAAAAAAAAATTATGTTACTCTCTTATTCTTTATAAATTTTTTATGCAATATTAATAAATGTCATTAACTTGATCTTAACCCATATCTCTAAAAAAATTTAATCAACTCAACCCCATATTTGTTTAACCATAAATCATACTCCTTACTTCAAATACGTGTTTAATTTTAAATACATTTGAACCTATTTAAAAAAAATATTCTTTCATTTGAACAATCCCTGTGTTGAGTTATTATCACTTAAAGTATGTGTACTAGGATATTTTAGATTTATAAACCGATGCAATTCACACACTAATTTAAATTAAAAAAAAAATTTAATTAATATATCTATGTTAGGTTCATTGTGTTTTTTCCTGCAATATGTTACTTTTTTCAACTTTAAATAATTTTTTAGCGCGTTTTTTAAAATTTAAAAAAATTGATTTTACTGGAAATGCATTCCATCATGTTTGGAATACCTACCCTATGAATTTCAGACAATTTTTTCCTAAACTTTTTAAACTTAAATATAATTTATAACCGCTTTTCCATGAATTTTGTATACAAATTATTAATAATTCAAAGACTAACAATAAGATTGTCTACAATTCATAAGATAGTAGGTATTACACAAACATGATAGAATATATTTTCTGGTAAAATATGATTTTTTAATTTATTAAAACGAGTTCAAAAATTAATATAAATTTGTAATAAATAATACATTGCCGGAAAAAAACACATTTGACGCTAACATATAATATAGTTAAATTAAAAAAATAATAATATTTAATGATTAAATTCAGAACATAATTCGAATTTCTTTTATGTATTATCATTACTATTATATTTTGATATCAATTATTGACAGACTCTTGCAACTTTTAAATAAATTTGGTATATTTATAATATCAAAAAAAAGGGTTCATTTATATGTAAAAATTAGTTGACGGTTCAGAATGGGGCGAATGGGGAGATTGGGAAAACGAGTGTTCGATGGCCTGCGAAATCAAGATTAAAACAAGGAAACGCCTTTGTTTAATAGAGTCGGGTACGAAGAATGAGGATACCTTACCCAACAATATGATACGGATTTTGGCCGACAATATTCTAGCAGCTTCCTTAAGACTTCGTGATAGATTGAAACAGAAAAGAGAGAAAAAGAAGTTGAGAGCCTCCACTATTCGAGTGACTATTCCCACGACGGAGACAACTACAATGACGCAGAGTGTTCATGGTAACGATTGTTTGTTAAATGATAACTTTTTCTAAAGAGTATATATATATATAAATATTAGCGTCAATATAATCTTTCAGTTAACGTCTTTATTTTTTTCAACTTCAAGAATCTGGGTTTTACCAGAAAATGTATTCCAGCATTTTTAGAAAAAAAACCTACTTTGTGATTTTAAGACAATTTTTTTTCAAGAACTTTTTGAATTTTAATATAATTTTTATATTAGTTTGTTATTTTATATAAATAATGAATGACTGACTAAAAAAGTTAACAGCAAAATTTTATGAATATATCACTAGGTAGGGAATACATGTCCAGTAAAATCAGATTTTAAAATAATAGGATTCAAGGTTAAAAATAATAATATATTGAGCAAAAAATAAAAACACCTTGACGCTTATTAACATATACAATATTTTTAATAATTAATATATGATTAATGATTAATATATGATTAATAATTAATATTTGTTTAATATATTTTTTATACAGTACTAGAGGTAGCTTCCATTTTTTTTATTTTACTGAGCGAAAGTTATAAATTTTTTAATCTGCCTATCCACATATATGCTTAGAAAAAAAAATAACTCATCTATTGGTTTACAAATGTTGTAGTCCTACTTTAATTGACAAAAATTTGATCATTAATTTTTAATAAATATAGATCATCCTTGCCATTCAATCCTTAGAATATTACTTATTGGCCCGCATAGGTGTAGTCAGGGATCAATAGGAAATAAGCTAGTTCTAGTAAATATCACCCCTTTCTACATTCTCAAAATGTATCCTATCACTATAAACAGGGATCTGAAAGAGAAATTAGTGAAAATTAATAATTTTTTTTTTAAATAACCACTATAATTCAAAATTTTTAGAAAAAAAAACATTTTTATAATTAAAAAAAAAAGCTAAACCATAAGATTATTTTTATAAAAATCTAAAATAGCTAAAGACCAACATTTACCTGAAGAGTCCAATAAAATTTAGAGGAAAAACCCTACAGAATAGTGATTCCCCCCCCCCCAATTAGCAAAGTCCTGGCTACTATATTTGACGACCAATTGTTTAATTTTTTTTCACTCAATCATTATCAGCCCCTTTTTTAAGATGTTTTAAAACGGGGGTGGCCCGGTTAAAGACCAGACCACCGCAGGCCTCTAATCATAATATATTTTATGGTTCCAAAATTGATAAGGTATTCTAATAATTTCATTTTATACATTATGTTTTACTTAAATTTTACCGTTTAAATTAATATATAATTTTCTCATAATATAACGGTGTCCAAAATTTTAATGAAATCATATGTCAAATTTTTGAAATTTATGAAAAATTTTCTAGAATTATGTTTTGGACATGTTTTTATTATTAATTGATAGAATAACTTATTTATTTATTTTCATTAAAGTTTCGAAAGTTTGTAAACTTCTTTTGAAATGCAGAACTTTGATAAGTAGAAAACGCTTTTTAGATATTATTTTCAAAATGGTATAAGTGGTAAGACTTATAAACCGTAAATATTTTATAGATTATATAAATTTCTGGAACTAGGTATCTTATGAATCATAACTGGTCTATATGATGCATGTCCGTAGTGTTGTTAAACTGCTCATTTTAAGCCGATTTTTAAAACGGCTAACTCAATATTTTATCAGGAAAAATATTATGCAAACCTTAAGATTTTGCTCATAGGTTGCACAAAGGTTTGAACATCTATTAACAAAATCTCACTTAGACAATATTTTTCAGGCTAAAATATTGAGTTAGCCGATTTTAAAAATCGGCTTAAATCGAGCCCTTATAACAACACTACATGTCCGTTTTGTTCTTTTCATAGTATAAAAATAGTATATTATATTTTAAGAAAAATATAAAAGATCGTTACTTTTTCTTAAATATAAGTAAAGAATGTGAAGGTTCCGCGATTGAAACTATAGCTTGCGAATTACCTCATCTTTGCCCCAAAGACGGACAATGGGGTCAATGGGGATGCCTGTGTTATAAAAAGGCAGATACTTTAACTAAATCAACTCTTCCCGAACAAACAACAGTTTATAATAAGGATTCCAAACATAAAAATATGGAATGTTTGGCTAAAAGATATTGCGATAGTCCGTTCCCTCAAAATGGAGGGAAAAAGTGTGAAGGAAACGATACATTATTCGATAATGTAACTTTGGTCTGCAGTTTTACATCTTCGACTATCATCTCTGTTACTTTAAACCCCATTTTGCGGACTAAATTGTTAGGGATGCTTCAAAGTTTTTCAACAAAATAAATTAATCTAAATATTTAAAACGTATGTTTTTATATTTAAATATTTAAAGGAATGAATAATAACTACGCTTCAGTTAAAGAGGGTCAAGAAGTTTTGTTATCATGTTTGCCAACTATCTTGATGAATGACGTGCTACCGTTACATCCAAAGACTAGATTTACGTGGCTATTTAACGGGAAAGATCTCATATACGACTTTTCACGTATGTATATGGATAAGGAAAATTTAAGTAAGTTAAATAGTGTAGCTAAAAGGCTCGATTTGGGCAAATTTTTAAATAACGGCTAACTCGATATTTTTCCCAGAAAGATATTCCGCAAGCCTGAAGATTTTGCCAACATGTGGCAGAAAGGTTTGGATATCTATTAGCGATATCTCGAGGCTTAAGGCGATATTTTTCTGATTATAATAATGAGTTAAACGTTTTTAAAAAGGCTCAGATCGAGCCATAAGAGAACACTAAAGTTAAACCATATCCAAAGTTATTTTACTTTTAGTAAAGCAATGATGTTTTATGATATAACACATGATTTTAGTTCATTGTCGCTTATAAATAATAGTAAATTTTGAAAAAATAATAACATGTACAATTATATAAATTCAATTCTCACAAACTAAATTCTAAAAAAAAAATGTTTCGAAATCCCGAAAGCTCTTCAAAATGTGCGCAACAGTGATAGCGGTGTCTATAATTGCTATTTGGTTTATGACTCACATCGCAAAATCTTAGCTAGTTTTTACACTTTAACAGGTATATAAAAATTACAAAATAAGAAGAAAAAAATTTTCAACAATAAAAGTTAATAAGTCTTTATAGACAAATGGCTAAATTTAGATTTTAGCTAAAATATTATTATCTAAGCTTTAAATTTTGTCAATAGATGTCAAGGCTTTTTTGCCACCTGTGGGCAAAATTTATAAGCTTAGGTGACTTTCTTTTGGTTTAAAATCTTGAGTTAGCTATATTTAAAAATTTCCCCAAATCGAGACGTTTAGTAACAGAAAATCGAAGATAAAAATACTTATAAAGATACATTCATTTTCTCAAAAAAATATATGTGTAAATGTGAAAAATATTTTATTTTTTTAAAGAAAATATTATCCCATTTCTATTATTTTTCTGTAGCGATATATGACATATCAATGGATTTTTATAAATGATCAACTCTCTTGATAAAAATTAATTAGTTGAAAATATGATTATAAAAATAAATTTGACAAATAGTTTCATCGAAAACGCCTGATATTTACATCAAATCCTCTAGAAACGGTTTTTTAGAACTTCCCTGTTTTGGCGGTTATATTGAAAACGTTGTGAAAGAAATCTATCACAAATCTAAGCATGCCGGCGGCGGTGAAAAACCGAAATTCAATCAAATATGGAAATTGAATGACACCGTGTTCAAGGATTACATGCTAGAAAAATTACCGTCTCAAGTGCCTTACATAAAAATAAAAAATATAGATTCAATAGCTCACTCTGGAACTTGGTGTTGTGAGATAATAGAAGTGAATACTATGCACGCCTGGGAAACGAACAGACTCCTTATAAAAATACTCGAACCAGATACATGGTCTCAAGTATTGGTTAAGGGAAATAACCTCATATATCTATCGTTGGTTAGCATACTACTTTTGATCATCATAATTTGGGCCATAGCATTTTTAGCCAGGTAATTATTTAAATTAATGATGTTTCCATATTTTTTCATATATAAATACACTGCCTCAATGAAAAAAATGGCTGTCTTAAATATTTTTCGAGTAATGTCATTTTGTAAAACTTAAAAAAAAAATATGAATACAATAAATAAAAAATTAAGGAGTTTATTAGAAAATTTATGTTGCCAACATGTAAGAAATTTGGTAGGATATACATAATTCTTTTCCAGCGATCCCATATGTTTTTGGACAGAACAATCATTTTCATTCAATTCCATCTTTGGGGTGGGCACATATCTAACGTTGTGACCACTGCTGGTCTGATTATCGCCCAAAAAAGTGTCGACTTAGATTAGGCTGGACCCACAGCTACATCAGAGCCCGAGCTAAATATTATGCTTATATAAAAATTAAAATATTTATTTTCATCAAGCCAGATTTATATATCCAGAGTTTTAGATATCATTTAAGAATAAAAGAGCAAGTTGTATATTATGGAAGAGAGCTAATTAACGCTAAAAAAATATGATCGGATTCTAGCTTAGTAAAAAATGCTTAGATGAAAATATTATAAATGATTGTAATTTGACTTTGCAGAAGAGTATCTCAAAAATCAATGGAAATAGAAGAATTAAATGACTTATCCCATTTAAGAGGTAAAAGCATTTTTTAATTTTCGTCTATTCAACATTTTTCATAAGGTTAAAAATTAACTTTCACTGACTGCTTAAACATATAAATTTTCTATTTTGTAATAAATGTTACATTTTTTTTAATGGTCGATTTAATCGTTAAGGCGAATGTTGAAGGCTTTATTTATTTATAGGCCTGAGAATGTAGCGTCATCCATACAAATATTAAATGTTAAGGTTAAAGTAAAGAGTAATCTTTATATTTAGTATTATTTTGTTTATTGCTAGATACAAAAGTATAAAGTTCTGATTTAATATTAAATTGTGCGTTTTATTACGTAGTATTGATGGATTTTATATGTAATAAAAAAATTTTGAATATTTTTCTGAAAAACTATAAATACAATTAAGAATTGAAACGGTTTGCAATGCCGAATTTGATAAATAAATGAATTGCTGATATATTCTATAGGGTAAATCTCGCCGCATGACTTGTAGTTTCGCAGCCTTCGTTGACTCCCTATCATTATTGGGAGGATGTAAAATATCTGATAATGATATTTTATTTTGAAAATTATTTTAGAAATAATATTTTGAATATGAATAGCTCCAATAGTGTTTGATGGGGTACATCATAGATCAATGAAATTTTTTCTGGAGTAATCTTTCGTTACTATGAAGTTGGTAAAATTTGTTATTGCTTGTATTAATAGGTGTGAACAGGATTTACCTATATTTATTAAATTATAAAGAAATATGGGATTGATGATATCTATCACTCTAGCTTAGTCTATCGGGAAGGAGGTGATTCCACCTGAAAATTGGACTGTGGCAAATAACGAAGTCTGTTGATAAAAATGATTAATGTTTGCATTCGTAGGATGATTGTTAATAAGTTATTTCTAAACTATCATCAGAATCAGAACCAAGTCCTTGTTGAACAGATTATGCAGCGAAAATCTAGAATTAAAAATTTTTTAAACTAGTTTTATGAAGTTCTTATCAGTAGATTGAATATTTTAATATTCCGGGGTTTCTTTGAGATTTAAGTTAATTTAAAAATATGTTGATATTGATTTTAATGATGACAGTGAATTTTTATGCTTTAATACTTTAAAAATTGAAAGTTAAGCAATTTCTTCTAAGATATATTTATTGAAAAAAATTTGGGCCCATAGTTAATAAATCTTTTATGTTTTTATTATAATAGTATAATTCAAAAGTGCAAGGGTTCATATTTATATTCAAATTCTTCGCAATTTAAGTAGTTAGATCATGTCTAAATAGTATTAAATAATATTAAGTTTTTATGATGTAATTAAATTGATATATAGGCATAAAATATTAGTAGATGATTTATATATTCATTGGTTAATAAAAAAATATGAACGGACTCTAGCTAAAATAATAGTAAAAAAAGGCCTAAAAGATTCGGAGATAACTATAAGTGCAATTCTAGTCTTTTATTTTTAAAAAAATCTCATAAATTATGTTTCACGAAAGATTGAAAGTGGTTGATTTTTTTTTTTTACTAAAGCTTAGGGAGTTTATATTATTTAAATAAAATAAAATAACTTTCAATTTTTATGTTAAAAGACAAAAGGCAAAAAAGATACCTGTAGAAGCTATATTTGCAGCTAATAAAGTCAACAAAGTGGAATGACAGCTTAAAAATATTTAATATGTTCCTAATAATTTTATTCAAATTATTATTATGTGTGAATAAATTTTAAATGTATTTATATAAAAAATATGGTAATTTTATATGTGAACCTTATTTTATTTTTTTTAATTTTAAAAATGTTTAACATGGTGAGTCATCTATATAAATTTTAGGAGAATTTTCATAATCATTCTTAATTACGTTAGATATTAAGTAAGGAGATAGAATTAAATATAAACCTATTTGTGTAAGTAATCATTAGTAAGAGAAGCGCTGAATATATCTGTGTCAGGCGCGTATGCAGGAATTTGGTTTGGGGGGGGGGGATATTAAATTTTTTTAAGTATTATTGTTTTTCAAAAATATCAAGCATAAATTTATTAGGAGTAAAAACTATTTCTAATACACAATTTTAAATTAATGTGGTGAATTATAAATTATATGTATAAACCGGCATATAAAAAACTATAAAATAAATGTGAATTAAAAAATATTAAACGGATATAACTGGCGTTATATGAAAATAAAATTTTTCAGAAAAAAAACACCCGGGCAGGGCCTGAATTTTTTTTAAAGAAATATCCGAGGCGGGCTTTATATTTTAAAACACCCTATATTTGAAATCGTTATTATTAGCTCTAAAAATCAAAAATAAATATAATTTATTTTTAAAAAATCCGGGTCGGGCCTGAAAATTTTATTTAAAAATAAGTCGGTCCCGGCCTGAAATTTTTTTAAAAAAAACCTGGTGGTCGTAAAAAATTTAAAATAAATCCGGGCCGTGCTATACAAATGGTATTACTGCAGGGCTCTGTTATTCTTCTTAAAAAAGAGAATGTTCTTTCTAGTTTATTATGGGATGAGTTGCTAATACATATAACCATCTTAATACATTGGGAATATAATCTAAAATGTGTTTGAAATAATCCAAGGCATCCATAACATTTTTTGGGATAATCAACCATTATTAATCCTTCAAACATAGTTATTCAGCTAATAAGACATCATAAGACACTTTAACATTTTTATGATAAAAATCTAATAAATATTTTTTTTTTCTATTATCATCTGACAAAGGTTGGTAAGACTTTTATGGAAGTAATATTTGCAGATTGGTAAGTGCTGCATGATGAATTAAATACCATTTATTTATTTGGGTTTTAAATGTATCTAAGAGAGGGACATTTGTTTTTAATACTCTTCTACCGATCCTATATTAATGTTTTAAAGATGAGCTTGCCTTGCTGCAAGTCAAGTGATACAAATATTAAACACGTATAACTCTGCTTTTGACTCAATAATAACTTATAAAATATGAAATTCTTCATCAACATTAGCTCTAATTTCCTTGAGTTCTAATAAAATGCTCTCCGCTATTCTCATCTTCTTAATCAAGTCAACGTGTTTTTGAAAAGTAATACATAAAATAGTTGCATAATTAAATAATAGATTCTAATAAGAAAAAAAGAATTTGGAATAAGCATTGAATCCAATAATTTTATTGCTTCTGAGGAAATATTTCTTTCAGGTCATTATGTCTGTAATAGCAAATACTCGGCTCTTCTAACTCCATAAAATCTGTTACTGCTTGTTGGCCTTTCCCTGTTGGACAAGGAGTTTCAGAAATAGTTACTATTTGACTAGAAATTTGAAAATGGTAGATAAAAAAATTTAAAAATAATAAGTAAACATTACGCCCGAAAACTTGAAATCGAAATTAATTGATAAAATAACTTAGTAGATGAATGTGATAAATAAATGTAATTAAATATATTTAATATGAGATAGGAATAAATATTAACAAATATAAATTAATATTATCAGAACAATAGATAAGATTAATGGAGAGGTAAATCCGTATAAGGAAATGCATTTGACAGGATACCAACTACCATGAGTTTAAAATGTGGAGATTAGGATGATGAATATATCTGTGGATTAATGTAATGAGTAAAATGAATGATAAGAATATATTTCTAATTAAAAACAAAGTAAGAGTGAGTGAGAGAGGGCTATAATGAATCGGTATTCAGAGTTACCTATGAAGTGAGTTCCTTTCTATTTTTGGTTTTTGATAAATAAAAGGGAGGGAGCTAAATGGGGTGATGCTGGACAAATAATTACATCAAATATAAGTTTTAATTGTATATGATGGTGAGATCTTCATCTACATGAATGGATATTTAATGGATACAAACTCCCCTTAAATACCTATACCCATTCCACTAAATAATTTTAGCCGTCTATTAATTATACCTCTATAATTATAATGTTAAAAGGAATAACTTAAATTATTAATGCTCTACTACCTACTACCAAAATATTGTGAATGTGAAAAAGTTATTTTAGAACAGTAATTTAATTAAAAACCTCATTTACAATGAATGCATTATAATAATGTATTCATGACACTTTTAAATTACATTTAAAGGAATGACAAAAAAATTATTCAGGCAGTTTTATTTGAAAAATAATGTCTATAATTGTAGGCGGTGGATGTTTAGCAATATCGTATTATAATATAGGTTTATAATAATAATATTAATTTTTAGAGCAAAACTTTAAGCCACTAAAAATTAAATAGATAAACCCCGAAAAAATTAATCCTACCCCTAGCCTACACTCTTAAATGCCAACCTCCTACCCTCCTTTAAAAAATTACAAGCAAACCTCCACTACTCCGTAAAACAAATCCATAAAACAATCCATATTTCTTCATAACACATTTATTCATATTTATCTATCCATTAAAAAAGAATATATAAATATTATAAATCATATTTATCTCGCTTCACATGTTCTTCACTCCCACAGGTCCATTCCTCATTTCTCCCAGCTGACATCAGCTCCAATTAATCCAAAATTTTTACTCCAAAATGGCTAACAAAGGAATCCTTAAAAACCAAATATGTGATGATCACGTTTTCCCCCTATCCACAAGGAAAACTTCATTACTAAATCTATTTCTTCTTTTTTTCAACCGCTACAACACGCCCACCCTTCACAAGCCCAGCGTTCCTCTCTCTGTGGAGGTGTTGTATCGAATCTCCCCTTTGAATTGTATCGAATCGCCCCTTTGAATTGTATCGACTTTGAATTGTATCGACTTTGAATTGTATCGACTTTAATTTGTATCGACTTTAATTTGTATCGACTTTAAATTGTATCGACTTTGAATTGTGTCGACTTTGAATTGTAACGAATCACCTCTCTGAATTGTATCGGGACGCCTTGAAGACGTTCAAAGAATTCATCGAATCGACTTCCCTTATGACGATTATAATATAATATCTCCGATACATTTCAATATATAATCGCGAAAACACATATTATCAATAATGACATGTACATTGGGGTATCTGCCTTTATAATCTATGGAACCTTAATATGGACAATGTAATATCGGCAAAACATAATAATTCATTCATTTTAAGACATTTGGGAAATATGAGCTATAATATACATTATTTGGGTATGATTCATGGTAATTAAGAAATAATGATTTTACATATAATAATGTAATGTGAACATAGTCTGTGTGTGAAATGCAATTTCAACACATGTAATTTTCCTTCTGTCATGTGGAAAAAAAAACAAAGCTACATCTTTAAAAATATCTCCTAAAATGAATATAAAAATTCATCTTTAGGTATTAAAAATAATTGTGAAACTTTGCCGAACAAAGATTTTAAATAAAATTACAAAACATATGTATAGAAATAAATTTAATATTTTATAGGAAGGAAAAATATATAATATGTAGAAAATACAATATTTTCCATCTAGGAATTACTCAGTATCATAAGAAAAATATACCATTTCTACCTAACTCTGCCATCACAATTAGCACAAATTCACAAAAATGTAGAATGCAAAGTAACAAAAATTGAGAATATAATGTGTTATATAATATATATGTAAAGAATTTTTAATATACCTTCACAATATAAAATAATTTGAGTCTTTTCTTTAAAAAAATGTTCATAAATAAATAGTAAATAGTAATGTGCTATAAAATTATTACAAAAAAATAATTATGCAGCATAAATTTACAAAAAAAAATTTACAGGAAAAAAACTTTCTCCAGTATGCAAACTAAACAATATTCTCACCTCAAGGCTACCCATCAACACTGGCTGACCTTATCTATTTTCCCTTCACATCATTGCATACCATAAAAATAATATAATAATTGCAAATATAACTTTTTATAAAATTTAATAATTGCAAATATAACTTTTTATAAAATTTTATAATTTAAAAATAAATATATATTAAATTTAAAGATTTCATAATTTTGAAAAAAAAATATTATACATCATCTAATATATCATATAAATTCCTATCCAATTTATATATATACTAAATGCAGACACTAAATCGAAATAACTATCCACATCTAACATTATAGATATTATTCTGACTTCATCATACTTCAATTCCTTCAAATTATCATTCATAATTAAATATATCATATGTGTAATTCACATACACCCTATTTCATAAAAATGGTTAATTACTTCAAAATAAACAACATTAACTCACCCTCAATTGATCCCTTAATAACATATCAACCTTAATTGAAACTAAATTACAAATACAATATATTAACATTAATTAATAATAAATGATCCCACACATGTCCATCCCTTTAAAAACCCAAAATGCATAATTATATAATACATACTTTATTACAAAAGTCTATTTCCATATATATATTTTCCTAAATTTTAAATATTTAAATATTTAGCAATCCTTTCTGTCCTTCTGATCATGAGGTCTTTTATCTTCCTATGACGGATTACCTATGACACCATTCAATGAGTTTTAAGGTATACCAAATAATAAGATCGTTTGGATGTACAATATACATCTAGACATATAATATACCAAATATTACTGTCTTAAATTCCTGATCTTATTTTCATATTCCTGCCTAATACTCATTACATACTTTCTATCTTACACCTTTTAAGTTAAATATTTAATATGAAATTACAGGAACCTTTAAACTCACCTCTTAATCTCACATTTTCCTCTGCA